GAAAATAAAATTAGAATATTAAACAGTTGTTTTGATAAAAGATATATAGATAAATATGAGCATAATTGGTTTTTTTTCATTTAGACCCTGTTTGAGCCAAAATATTGTAGAATGAGAATGAAAAATATAGTCGTTATTAGAGCTCACATTAGAGATAGAAAATTTAAATTTAAATGTTGATATCATGAATAACGATCATATTTTTTATTTTAATGGGATAATAATGTAGATCAAACGGGGGCTTATTAGGAGAAATAAATAAAAAGTTATCTTATATCAGGAATAGAGAACTTTGATTTGACTAAAGAATGAGAATATTTATGTCTTTTTATTGGAGAATGTCAACCAGGATGTCAACTAGGATGGTAGTGTAGCATGATTGTATCCACATCGCATTTCATGATGGAGTTATAGGCCGTTTCATGAATTCCTGCAGATTCCATTCCTATGAATGATGGCTGGAATAAGACTTATGGACGACGGAACCTCTCAGCCACAATGGTGATGACTTGTCCATCAGGCAGCTCATAGCTCTTTTTAATAACAGAGCTGTTTTTTGCAGTCTCCAATTCTTAGGCAAAATCAAGTGCAACATATGCAAGCTTCTCCTTCACGTCACGAACAGTTTCCCTCTCAGCACTTGTAGTGAACATGTAACCTCTCTCCGTTAGAATCTTCATGGGATAATCAGTGAGATCACGACCAGCAAGGTCCAACCGCAAAATGGCATGGGGACGTGCATACCTGATAAGTGTTGTTTATACACTTATTCGTGGCCTAAATTATGATATTTTATTATCTTTTGAATTAAATTCTACTTAATTTATGTTATATTGTGTTTTGTAGGTAAAAATTTATGGTTGATAAAGAATTGAAGAAAAGAATACAAAAGTGGCGAAAAATAGCAAAATTCAAATATGAATTCTTTGGAGAGAAATTATATGTTAAATGGGTTAAAGTTAACGAGTCTCAATAGTTTTACATTGAAAATTTTAATTGGAGGCCCAAATTATATATTTATATATATGAAAACCTAGATATATAAAAGGGGGAAAACACGATGAAAAAAAAGAGAAGGCGGACGCGCAGAGAAGAAAACACAGTCAGACAAGAGAAAAAAGGAAGAAGAAAAGAGAGGAAAAAGAAGAAGAGAAAAAGAAAGAGAGAAGTCAATAGGGAAAGAAAACGGCACAGATGAGAGAGAAAAGAGAGAGAAAAAGAAAAGAAAAAAAACTACAAATACCAGAAATTTCACGTTTG